TATCTACCTGGCGTATTAATTCGCCAGGTGAAGTCGGATATTTCAAAATAATCTTATTAAATTCTCTTTCACTAGGCCTTTCAAGATAGTAGGTAGAATACCATTTGAACAAGCAGAACACGAGCGTTTGTTACAAATACTTATGATTTCCGATCAGTAACAGCAACAATAATATGAAATCGATAAATTGTCTATTGCGAACAAAATTGGCGCGCGCGGTGCGCGATGTTGGAGTCGTCGACTTGCGCCCTACATGCATAATGCGCGGTGTTACGGCGCGTTACGTGTGCAGCGCGGGCGCAAGCCGTTATGCAAGCGGCGCGGAACCGGCCGTGAGAAGCAGCGCAACACCTGTAATACACCGCCACCGCTAAACGCGCATGAGCACGCTTGCAAGTCGTCTAACGGCAGCACGACTCGTTATAACCACCACTGATCAGCCATTGTGAAATCACGTCATTGAATTAATTACAGGTTACACGAGCCTTATAAAGTTTCCACTATTTCGCAGCACCCATATTGCAAGTCCAGTCCTTAGCAAGGACTTCCCTAGTGTGGCTTTACGTGACAGACCCTCCTTACTATAAGAAGGGTTCTTGTTAAAGATTTATTACGCGGATAGGTCGAAAGATATCATCTTTATTGGACATGTTTTTTTTTTAAATAAATAAATACTTAATTTACAATAACACGTCATTATGTGTTAGTAGAAATGCCAACATTATTGATTATCAATGAGGCGGCCAGTTACAAACAAAGTAACTTAAGAAAATAGTATAGTAGATAAGACCATACTTATTTTTTAAGTGATAAAAACATCCTGATTTCGTTTCCTAAAGGTGCCGAATTAACAATTGCTGCATTCAAAATATTTTCGCAAAACAACTGCATCAAACGCAATAGCTCAAATAACTAGAGCACAATACAACAAGACGAGTATTGCCGCCAGACGCCAAAAACACTTTTGAAGGAGACGCGTATGTTGTACAAACATGTGCGATGCAGTTCCTTAAAAAACATGGTGGCCTGAAAAAAAATCGAGAAAAAAGACACTCAAATGCTGAAGCTTGCCCGCCTGACAGGAAATATGATATTTTATTTTGGGCGTGGGATCAAACCGAGTCGATAATTTGTGTTCCGAATAGAACATCACAAGCAACGGTGAAATTAAATTGTTGAAAACGTTTTATGTTAAGTATTAATAAAGAACAGGAGAGCCTTTGACAATAATAAAATGTCTTTTGAACATATCTGACTGAATAGGTGATCGTCGGCCGCGCAGCACCTCAAAGAAAGTGTCACAATATGATATTGTCTCTTATTTATATTTTTAGGGAACGACGCTCTATATTAAAGATCAGCTCTATTATGAACATGTTATTTTTTCGTTTTATATGTATTTGAATGTTGCCGTCGTTGGTTGGTTTTAGTTTCTGAATCCCTTGCGATCTATTCGTGTATCTACTACATTACTTTAGTTATTTGTTTCATATAGAAGTAGGTAGGTAGATGTAGTATGTTCGTATGTTGATTAATATAATCTGTTCGCCTGTTGTCGGGTACCATAGAAGTGTAGAGATGTCCGGCGGCCGGCGGGGCGCAGGCCGATCCTGCTCGAATCAATATCAATCAGCATCAATCAGCACCCGGAAGCCTTGTAGCTGGACTGGACTAACTGATTGTTCGCTGGCGACGATGCGTGCCAGAAATTCACATGTTTATTCACTAACTATACAATTTGTTAGTCCTAGGTAAATGTTATTTTTTGTTTAGATTTGAAACCTTAATTACTCTATTTCGGTGAGTTCTCGTTGGTCACACAGAAGACCGTTAAATGTACTAAAGTTACCTATGTATATGAAAACATTATTATTTTTATATTTATTTCACCTAGCGTCATCAATATTACATTAGTAATATATTAAATTACGTATTTTTATAAAACATATATCGTAATATATTAAATATCATATACCTACTGCCTACTACTACTATGTACTGAAGTTTAGACCGAAAGTTAGTTATAGGTATAATATTCTCAACATCTTCTGTACCTTGAAATACAGTGCCAGTACCAGCGTCCAATGAATCGATTATGTTCGCTCGGTTAGCGGTACATTTAATACAAGTAATTCGTTTAACGACTTCATAGTGCTACGATGTCCTTAGTCTTTGAACAACTTTGTAACTTTGTTTTCAAAGAGATAAAATGAAGTCTAGCATAGAGAATTCATTAGTCGTAACAAAATACAATCTGTAGTGGATAGGTACGACCATTTTGCATTTTTTCTTTAATATGGCAAAAATGATAATACAGCTTCCCAGCCTCGATAAAGACCACTCAAATTAGAAGTAAGTTCCAGTCATAAAGATACCTGAATCGCGGCCGATACTTCACTGTAGCAGTTACGTAATAACGCAGTGGTACTAAAGAGCTCCTTATATGTTAATATGGCACATGACGGTGTCGTTGCGCCTATAAAATCGTCTGAAGTGTAAACACACGTAAATATCGCGCCACACGCACTCGTAAAATCTATTTCTCGCGCTATTGCGGCTCGTAGGCACTACTATACAAATAATTTTATTCAGAGGACAATCAACATTAAAACAAAAATATCACTGGAACTGATTTATAAACAGAACCAGTTAAATCTTCCATTACGTAGAGCGGCCGAGTGGCTTGCACACTGCACAGCTCGTCTTATATACCTCTATATACACGCAAGTAAATACCTGTGGCTAGTGTTATCCACCTTGTTCCTATAAGTTTATTATGAGAAGGAATTCATGTGCGTTAGTGCAGGTATTTTTATAATCCGTTTCGGTACTTTCTTGTTCTAAAGCAAAAACAGAATTGCTGCAACACCCACGTTTTTCGAAGTGTATAAAAATAAGGCGTCTGTTCAACATGAAATCACTGATGAAACGGCTGAAAATATGTTTGTCTGGTTATTTATCAAAGTCTCTCATAATAGTTTTTACCTACTGTTTGTGGACAAAGGCAATGAGTCATCGACGAGATTATTGGGCCTAATATTACAGCGGGCAGAGATCGCAGCAGGCAGCAAAGCTCCGCGGGCGCGTGACACCACCGCTAACGCTGCCGCTGCGCCACATGCCTGCGCGCAAACAATGCTTGCCTTTTAATTCGATTTGATTATTTATTTGTCTAATCTGTTAGTCAGACATGTAAAAGATATAGACGTGACTGACGTAAGTATTGAGGAAATTGTATACTTTACTAGGTACTTATTGGAATTAAAACAAGGAAATTCTTAGAGTTAATTCTTTTGTTCCTAACTCTGATAGGAATTTCCCAATAAAACAGGACGTCTTAATACGCAATCGTTGTATAGGTATCAAGACTGTATTCAAGTAAGTAACGGAAAAACAGTAAATTACATACTTCACTGTGGAAAAATAAATATTGTATAAGATTTATGCGAAACAAATATATAAACTTCTTTTCAATTCTTAGTTAGCAACAATGAGTCAGCTTTTGTTTTCGGGTCTACCATATACATATAGAATACAAGTATTATACGGTGTAGAAACACAGTGGCAACATGAAAACAGAAACATTTCTTTGAAACAGGTTCCATTACCTATACCAACTTCTCCGGGTTCCTCATTACATATTACCTATTATTTTAAAACGGTGATGACGCAAATACTTAAATGTTACAATATGTTACCGGACCGACTTGGTGTCCACAATATTTTAATAGATGAACATAATTTATATGATAGAACCAGTTTCTACGACTTTTTTTACTTCTTTCCTACCTAATATAGCAGTTTTTTCATCATAATTATATGACTTTATAATTGATTCGTTTCGATATTAGTCATATAAGATTCTGCGACTTCAGTTTTTAATCATCTCCAGTTTCCGTCCACACAGTTTCCTTCGTGCGTCGTTGCTGATTATTGTTTTGAAATTACCTTACTTACACGATACATTAATGCATATAATTTAAAAAGGCTGACAGAAGTGCACGTTAAAAATGTATATATGAGTATGTAATCAATATGTACCTTCATTTGAAGGTGTGACTGTATGAGGGAGGTAGAGGTACGAGTATAAACCAGAAACCCGGTAATCTAACCCAAGCCAATTGTTAGACAGTATACATCGCTTGCAATTTAGCTAGAAACACAGTTTTCTAAGCAGGGCCTCTAATAGAGTTTTGATGTATACTGAATAAGAGAACAAGAACACGAGGACACGTGGACGTAAGTACGTGCAGTAGGTAAGTTTTAATTTTCCCCAAAACAATATTCTGTTTTGTTATTATTTCAAGATAAGTATAACAGATATTGTAATTGAGTCATCGGTATTAGTCGACTGTTTCCTGGAATTATCAAGATACCCAGTGAAATTCAGAAATAAATAATCTCTGTTAGTATTTATAGACCAACATTACGAAGGTTGATATAATCTTTTTGAATGACGTTAATTGGATAATTGACTCAATTTTTATTATATTTATCGGAAAGATACATACGATATCCGAAATCGAAAATTAAATGATTGCATTAATCCGTGGCAAAATGATTACAATTAAAATAATTTATAAGTAATCGTGTGTATGACAAATAAGTAAAATATTTAATGTTTGCCGAACATTAGTGTATTCCACAAATGTTCAGTTAATTTAATGACATAACATCACGATGTACAATTTGGCATTTAATGTCACTGTACAATGTAACACCCACTTTTCACTATCTATGTTATGAGTCCCATATAATAGGGTCCATATAATAGGCTATTGTCATATACCGGGCACATTTCCAGACTCCGTGCTACTACTGAGAATTTTTAAAAACCCAGTAATACTTTGCCCGACACAGGAATCCAACCCGAAACACCTTCCAACGTCCGGCATTCGGTAGTCACAGTTATTTTAATGAGCCTTTAAATATTAGGAATCAATGTTTGCAGGTTTTATAAGGAACGAAATAAAATAACTAATTCAAATTTATTTATATTATTATTCACCTTCTGCCATAGGAGGAGCGATATATTTCAGAAACTTTGCTTTAATTGGTATAGAAAAATAGCCAGTGACATTGTCTCTCAGATGTGCTGCAGCTATTTGCATGAAGGTGACGGCATCTGGGAAGGGAGATATTATATCCCGGGGCGTGGCGCGGACGTAGAGAGCAGCTCTTAGACCTGGTGGAAGCCAGATTCTTGTCCGAGGGAAGCAACACCAGCTAGCACCATATCGAACAGTGTCGTTCCATAACCCACAGCAGTGGAGGTAAATTGTACGCTTAGAACGGTTCGTAATCCTAGTTTCAAAGAAAATCTTTAAAATTACTATTAATTTCACATTATAAATTACCTTTGTCAAAAATTCGTTAACCTACCAAAGCCTATGTGTTACTTGATCTTCGTCCAAAACAAAACATAAAGTATTTGGGCACCATGCAACATGCAAAGGAAACTTGGGTATGGGTTGTGGTGGAAGAATCGGTTCCTCTTGGCACGGAGCTGTTTTAATTTCAAAATGCAAATCAATGTCATATTCTTCTTCTCCCATTTCATCTTCTACATTTTCTGAAACTACCTGCAGAACTCCATCATTAGTAGGTATAATCGAGTAGAAGTAGGTAATGACATAATAATAAAAATATATTTATTCAAAATAAAAATACAAAGGCCTCTACCGTACAAGTACTTGTATTATTGTATGAAAATGTATTTGTATAAACAAAAATATAACGAAGTAAAAAATAATACTATAATGTCCATTACACATTACATTACCCGGAACGATAACAATATAATAAAACAATAACAAGTAACACACAGTTTTGATGTGTAAACAATTAGTTTAGAACTTCAAGATTATTTGTTTACCTTGCGACCCCCAATTTTTGCTCGGGGATTAAGAATAACCGTGGTCGGTAGTTTGGCTCGAATGTTTTGCGGTTTTTCATGTTGTGAGATTTGTAACAATTTGGACATTTTTGAAGCTGAAACAATTTACTTTGAATTTTCGTAAACTACTTGATACAAAATATTGCAAGTGGAAGACGCATGACATCTGAAAGAAGACAAGTCATAGATAACCAAAAAGGTAGCAAACTCAGAAAACTGTTTTCATAATCGACTAGAGATAGGTTGCAGGTAAACCTCTTTACTGCTATATCGGATACGATTACAAAAATAGCCCAGTCAAGTGTAAATAAAATATTTTTAGAAAAAAAAATCCGCACTAATATATAACATGTGAATGAAGGTCAAATAACGCAGAAGATAAATTCTCTAGTTTAGTACACTAGTCTTTACACGTGGATTCTTCTATTGCGTTCGTTGAAATAAATTGTCTGTACTGAAAGTTTCAGTAAAATTTGTTTAATAGTGCATACGTCGTTCTCTATCTCGTTTCCTCTGTATTTAAGACCAGTATAATGTCTAAATCCGATATTTTGTGTATTTGTTAAAATGGATACGCATTGTGGTTTATATACAATCCATGATTGCATCAAGAATCACCACTAAATTCACGACTTGTTAAATGAAAGACTAACATTGTGAAGGAATGCATGGAATTATCTTAATTTCATTCTTGGAAACAGATTAAATGGAATTTTTAAAACACATAGGCTAATTGTTTTCGTTAGTATAATATAATAACATGTTAATTTTACTTAGTAAGCTTTAATCCCCTTTTTCACTGTCTTTGAAGCACTTTGACTGAGTTTTTTTTCTGGTTTGTTAATCTATAACATTTATTTTAGATTAACCCTTTCACTCAAAGAGTAAAGTAAGTGTAGGAGTGATATACTTAGATGTCATGAAAAAATACTTAGATCATAAAGTTACAAAGAAAAACAAAATATTACACACAAAAATTAGTTTGAGTGTTTCATGAAAGTACTTAATGTAAAGGTTTATATTCAATTAGATTTTTGTTCAGCGTATTGGCGAAATGATTTATCCCTTATTTATATACCACTTAGTGCACATTTCCTACATCAAGATACCGGAGTTTATTTTGAATAGCAAAATCTAATTGTTCTTCGGATATTGTTTGTTAGATTTATCACAGAAAGCATTATCACTAACGAATACCCATTAATGTGAATGTTGTTTAGTCTAGTACAATGTACCTATACCTACAACTTCCACAGGGACTAGCAGATTTTTGTGAGGAAAAGTAAAGATCTATTATTGAACGTAAACAACGACTAGAAATAGTATCACGCATTGTCTACGAGGAACAGCCAATATCACTTGCTTAAAAGCTGCGATCTAGGAGTTATTAATAACAAACCATAGCAATTAGTCGAGGCGGTGCATCTAATACCTTCCATATGACTATTGAACTCACTTAATATTAGCGGCGTAGTGTGTAATATATTGTCGTGAAAGCCGCAGTTGGTAAGACACGGTTGCGCAGTCGCCGCGACGCGTGACGGCGACTCCCGAGGGAGCGGAAGTCTTGCGCACTTCCGGCCGGCGCACACGCCGGAGATCCGGTCCACTTGTACGATCACGACGTTCCACCGACTGACGGTTTAACGAACATTTTTTTAAAATTAAAAACTGATTTATTGCTGCCGTTCAAACCTCCTTAGAACCCTCTAATTACCCACATTACTAACTGTGTTACATGGCACCGCGATTGGATTGCCGGCTATAAACTACGTTTCGTTGAAAACACTAAATGGGACTATAACCCTATTTATAATTCCCACAATTTCACCAAACTTTGTAACCTGAAACACACTCTGGTAGTTTCGCATTCTATGCACCACTCGCCACTCGCACTAGTTACGCACACATAACCAATAAATATCGTCGTGAGTAATCACATAGCTTTGTAATCAGTTTTGTTAGGAATTAAAAGCGTTCCCGTGTAGACTAAACAATGAGATCAGCTGGACCTATTGCGGCTATGGCGTTAACGTCGGCTATTTAGTCGACAAAGACATCGATTCTATTCGGGCCGCCGGGATCGTGTTCAGGTCTGTAAACAAGAGTCAAATTTTCCTGACTATTGTTATGAAGTGTGTAGTTACGTCGTTCTGACATGACGAGTTAAAAAAACTTTTGAATTTAAAAGCTGGAGAATTTTCATCCGATGAATTGGTAGAGTGCAATTGACGCAGAGCTTTGATCACGGCGATATTATATAGGTCAACATACTGTCTACCTTCCGGAGGGTCATCTAAACAGAAGTAAGCAAGAGATATAATTAAGGTTTGGAGGAAGTATGATATCCTACACGTGAATATTTCTTCACAGTTGAATGATATTATGGATACAGGTCAAGAGGTTAATTATATAATCTCATGCGTAAATGATATTGAAATTATTTCTTAGCAAACGTAGCCATATGAGTAAATATTTTAAGAGGTGTTGTTATTCGGATGAGTAGATAAATTATCTAACAATGTTTTTATAGTTATTGCCCTTGTTCCGCTATAGTGTTGTTCGCCTTGATTGATGGTGGAGCCCTTGACCGACATTCCACCATTCCAGCTATCCTTACACACATAAAGTTACACATTTTATTATTATTTCCTTTGCTCCAATTTAAATTTTAAATAAGTTTTATTCTTAGTCGTGTTACTTGAATGTTTTAGTGAAGCTTTGACGAGGAATTTACTATTGGATTTAGACAAGTAGTAATATGGGATGGCCGTTGTTTGTGGATGGTTGTTTTGTTGAGTAAAGCCAGAGTTTCCAAGAAAGTAATGGATTGTTTAAGGAGGTGAGGCAACTTGGAGTTAAGGGGGGAGGGGGGGATGTACGACGAGGTGAAGTAACGGATGAATGTCCGTGGGAACGGTCGCCACTTCCGCTCCGCTCTGCTCGCTCGCGCCTCGGCACTCTCAGCTATTTCCTTTATGTAGGGTGACGCTAAATGTGATTGAATACTGATATACTTAGCCATAAGTACTTGTTTACATACAGTATCGTTACCTTATTGTGTTTAGATTGTTAATAGACTTACTTTCCTACAATGAAGGGTTAATTCTTGCATTGTGGAAGTCGTAACTACGAATAATGTGACGAATTTTCCATGCGTGATGCACTTCATACCCTTAAATTTACTTAATGTCATGTACGTACCTATGCGAATATGGTATCTTTTACGAACCATCTTCCCTATTTACGAATTTAAGGAGATGTGGAAATGTTTTTTCTCAAACAAGAAGGTACTTGTTGGAAAGTTTATTCACCGTCTAGGTTTCATTGGAGCAAAACGTTTGGTTCCACTACATTTATTAACGGGCCGTCTTAGTTGCACAACAGGGTCGTGTCGCAATGTCCCTGTATCGTTTCTCTGGAAATTTTGCAATATTTATCAACAACTATCGACACACTGCGACTAACAAGATACCGTTGTTTGTGAGAAATGTTATTCACTATAAACAATCATTTCTTACTTCATTTTTTCTAGTAAATAAATTCACCAAGATAAGGAATATTTTTTCATGATATCGCGTCATCTTTCCAAACCTTACTTTATGTTCATTGTAGTCATGGATTAATTAGTAAAAAATATACCTTAGAGGGCAGAATTGTGCGTTCAATTTGTTATAAGAGAAAGAAGTAGGCTAGACTTATAAGTACTATCGTGCTTCTCAACATGTAACTGCGTAGGTACAATTGATTACTACATTATTGCATGTGCATCCATAACACTATACCTATTACAACATTAAGCATAATGCAGTTGGCAACTGCTGTTGCCTACCCAACAATGTAGAGAGAGAGAGATCTATCATCATCATCTAATGGAATAAGTCTACTGCTAAGAAAAGTTTAAGGTCTGAGGATCACAGTTAGGTCACCGAACGTTTAGAGGATACTACTGTCTATTCCTTTATGTTATTTACATTTTTGGGACATACCCGAGTCCGACAGAAATGAGGTATCTACGTTTGTCTCTAAGTTAAAGTTTATTATCTACGCAGCACAAAAATAATAAAATTTCATAGACCAACGAATAAATTAATAGACTTGAAATAGAAAGAGGTAACCAAGTCTAAAACTATGCAGTTATTACTTACACAGTAATAGCAGTTCGTCCGGAATATTCGATTTGTACATCCGATGTGGCGTTTGTCCGGTCTAAATAGCATAACGAGCGTCTAAGTAGGTAGTATCGAGCATTGAGCAAGACCGTTGACCGTTGTTGTAACTTCGTAAGTTTGTAAGTACCACTTGCACCGGTCTTGCTGTTATCGGCCGGAAGCCACGACGGAAGCGCGCAATCTCGACCAATTGGACGAGTGAGTTGTCACGCCGCGTGACCATGCCCCTTGCTCTTTACGTCCATTTTGAACTCGTGCGCATACGCTTGTAATACCAAAGTAAACATTGTTTTGTAGAAGCATAATATTTGTTAGAAATTCTCCATATCTATGATGCTAAGTTAAGGTAAAGCCGTTTGAAAAGAGCTTTCTTTCGTTTATCAGCAATGTGCGACCTTTGGTTGTAATAGTAACTAAGATGGCCAGACAGACGAAAGAGGTAGCATGAAGGGGCGGACTCTAGTGTTCTATTTCTGTTCATCATCTTAATTGGCGTTATGAGGCGCTGCTGTAATATACCGAATGTTGAATGCCAGGCATTCACTCGGGTGATTAACGAACCGATATTAAGCATCTTCTCCTGCTTGGAAAGATTTATGAGGATTAATGCAGATGAATTAATAATTTCTTGCATTTATTATTTTAATGCCCGGTCGCGTTGAAGGCGTGGTTCTTTAATAATTTTGACAACCACATCGGGTTTCATATTTTACAAATTATGGTAAAATATTGATGTGTATTTTAAGAATACACACTAATTTGTATTAAAAGCAAACAAAAAATTAAATAGACATGAGTAGGTTGGTACCTAGGCAAAGTTCACTATTGTGGAAACATTTTTCAGTTTCCATATGAAAAAAAAATGAATGAATAGAATGTAATCTGCAAATATGACGAATCCAATCTATTATCAAATACCTACTAAAACTTACAAAAATGACGTGGCAACAAGGTATTGAAGAAACCGTGGATTAAACACTTACTATGTAACTTCTTAAATCAGTTATTATGATCAAATATAAACATGAAACCACGGTCGGAGCAAACAACATTACCTCACCACAAAATTGACTGCGCATCATCACTTGAATGTTACACAAACAAAAAGGCCTTTAAGATTATTTTGGACAACTAACTGTTGCCCGCGACTTCGTCCACATACAATATCATTCCTATTTTATCACATGGGAGCATTAAATCGGGACGAGGTTGTATCCTATCACCTAGGTCAGCCCATAGCCTTTGTGTATACTAAATTTCATCAAAATCCGGTCAGCAGTTTCAGCGTGATTTACGGAGAAACATCCAAACAAAGAAACATTTACATTTACAATATAAGTGTGATCACTGTTTACCCACCTTAAAACGCAAACATAATGTTTTAACTACAAATAACATAACATAATATCATGCGTTTTATCCCCGAAGGGGTAGGCAGAGGTGCACCTTACGGCACTTAATGCCACTGTACAATGTAACACCCATTTTTCACTATTTATTTTATGAGTCCCATGTAAGCCTATTTTTTAACTACAAATGTGGGTTAAAATCCATATTTGGAACTGAAAGTTAACCAAAAGTAGATAATGTTACCTCTAAACTAATTTTCGACTAGTTTTCCCTATACCTCCGTAGCTGTACGTGTATAAAATGCTCAATTTCAAAGACTTACAGGAAATCCTCTTTCAGTGATTCAATGAACTTTCCAAGGTTCTTCAGCTTTCAGTCTTTTTGGCTGACTGAATGTCAGACCTAACAACGTACAACAAGTAATAGAAAAACTATATTTAATGATAATTAGCTTCTGTCTACGATTTCGTATGCGCAATCCCGTTTTCTCCCGTTCCCGTTTGATTTTCTGGATTTTTTCTGTGTTAAGAACCTTCTCCTAATAATAACAAATACAACAAAAAAAGAATTATTTAGTGAAATCGGTGCAGTCAATCACGTGTGATTCCGTGACCAAGGGAAGAATGGATTCATTTTTATACATATAGATGTAATCGATATAAATGTCAGTAGTACTGAAAGTACAATACTCAACATTATTTCTTAGTTTAAAGAAAACTAGAGAAGCGCTTTTGCTGGCCAAATACAAAAGTGTATGTACAATTTTTTTCTTACTTGTACACTTTATATTGCATATTATGCCGTATCAAAATTAGTGGTGCACGAGTCCGAAACGCACTTGTCTGTTTTTTGTTCTTAAATACTCAACAGTTTTTGTACCTACCAGGTTTTTGTTGAACACAGAGATTTACGTAGACACTCCATGTCAATTGGCAAGCCTGGTAACGCTGACAGTGTGTGTAAATATGTGTTAACTTAGTAACGGTCGAGTATTTCTATAGAAGGCGGTAACGTCCGTAGAAGACAAAAATTAAAAATCCTATTTCGAAATGTGTTTTGCGTAGATAATAAAAAGAATATGGGTACCCAGTATCTAATACAATAGCTTCTTTTGAAATTGATACGGACTTGTGTTATTAAAAAAAACTACTTAGGTATTAATACCAACTGTTGGAAGCATTCTAGGAAAATCTGCAAATTAATGTTCCACTGATAAGGCATTTTTATTTTTGAAAAAAATTACATAAAGAGACAAGTTTTTATGGAAAGACGGAGTTTATGAAAATACTTACATTAAAATAAGCAATAAAAAC